CTAATCTAAAAATAAATATAAAAGGCTTATTAACAGAAATAAAGATATTTTGTTGCCGTTGCCTATATAAATACTACTTGTTTTTTAATTTCATAGTGCTTTGAACAACATAAAACCTTTCAAAGGCATCTGCTTCATATTACTTTATTTTATGAAGTATGTATGTATGTATTTACTTATTTATTTTTGAGACAAGGTCTCGCTCTGTCACCCAGGCTGGAGGGCAATGGTTCAATCTTGGCTCACTGCAACCTCGAACTCCCAACCTCCTAGTCTCAACCAATCCTCCCACCTCAGCCTCCTGAGTAGCTGGGACCATGGGTGTGCGCAGCCATGCCTGGCTAATTTTCGTATTTTTTGCAGAGATGAGGTCTTGCCATGTTGCTCAGGCAACTTGTCTCAAACTCCTGGACTCAAGCATTCTGCCCCTCTCAGTCTCCCAAAGTGCTGGGATAACAAGCAAGAGCCACCACACCCAGACTCAAGTAGTCTTTGAACAAGTAATTTTATTATCATATTTACTTACTCATCCATTCATTATCCAATCTAAATTAATTAGTAAGCACCTACCACATTAAGCAAACAACCTATGTATACATAAGAAACAATGTAAGGCCACGTGGAGTTTACTAACATAAAATGCTTGACTTCAAATATCTAACAATGCAGAGAAAATACTAGTATAAAAATACCAGGAATTATGTGTTAAATGCCAGTCATCCATATTCTCACATAAGTAGGTAAGAAAAAAAAAAACACAGTCACTACTGATTCTCTCACTCATTCATTTCTCTTCCTACTGCCAAAATCACCAGGAAAAATGGAAAGAGGAAAACATCACAAAGAAAAGAATACTAGCATATAAAGACACTCATAGAGACATAGGAATAAACGAGAATAAAGGAACAAGTTATTGAAATACAGCAAATGAAGTTATATCGTTTGTCCCTCAAACACGTAAAAGCTAAGAAAATAAGAAATAAAATACATTGTTTTTTGGAGACGATTTCCTTAAAAAACACAAGAGTGAGTATACCAAAACTAGTCTGAGCACTGATTAAAACGTAACATCCTTTGAGAGAGGGGCCAGATCTTAGTCATGTATCGTGTATCATTTGGTGCACTGTTTGACATAAAGACACGCAATAATGTTTCTTGAACTGAAAAGCAAGACACATGTGTTTGATAAATGTCCATAAAATCACCATTCTAAAGAGTTCTATAATACCCTGTGAAGTAAATACAATTGGGGGTCAGCAGCTAAGCATTAACTTCTTCACAAAATGCAAAACAATACTCAGACATGATTAAAAACTATAAAAAATGTTTACCAAAAACAGCTTCATAGCAAAATATTAAAAAGAATAAAATTTCAAACCAAAGCTCACTTTTTAATAGGCTGCTTAATAGGAGCTTTTACAATTACTAATGGACAGAACAAAGTTACAAAAGGACTTAAAAGGTCATTTACTCCTTTGCCCTCCGTTCAATTAGGACCACAATCAAACCATACCCCAGCAAGAGAAACATATCTAAAGACATCCAGTGAAGATTAGACCACCTTTAAAAACTATTTCATTTTTTTTTAAACTACTCTCATAATCTATGCCTTGAGTTTATCTGGCAAATGCCGATATCTCACTTTTATCAGGTATTTTAGGGCACAATTTCCCTAGGAAATAAGTATAAGTATAGTTATCACTGAAGAGTAAAACATTTAAAATAATGTTGAGCCAGGTGCGGGCACATGCCTGAAATCGCAGCCATTGGGGAGGCTGACACAGGAAGGCTGCTTGAGCCCAGGAGTTCAAGGCTGCCGTGAGCTATGACTGCACCATTGCACTCCAGCCTAGGTGACAGAGTCAGACCCTGTCTCTAAAAAAAATAATAAAATGAAATGAAACACTCTTGAGCACATTAAAATATAAACATATTTTCATTTACATATGTTAACTATCAGTGAAATCACCCATCAGTCCAGACATGAAATACTGTCAGAATTAAAGAATTTTAGAGCCATTGGGCTCTCAAATTATCTAGTGGAACTTCCTGTTTCTTTGAAGATGAAAACAAGGCAAAAACACATTAGTATTAATGCCCTATACAATAACATTTTATAGCATTAAAGGACGTTTTATTTAAAAAAAACATGATTAGTCCTCAGACTCAAATCATCACTTTGTAATATAACTACTACCTGATCCACCTGCTTAATGTGGTCAGGTAAAGTCACGGAACAGGGCCTTTCTATCAGACAGAACTGGCAGTCCTGCCACACTGTTAGTAAGGAAGCGGGAGAAGGAGAACTGCTGTGAGTTGTTGAGCACTTTAGGGTTTACCTCCACTAAACTGTTTCAACTTCCCAAAATCAAATAAAATAGCATTAACACCTCATATGAAATAAGGGTACGGATTTGGAGACCTGCCTATGATCATACAGAAAATAAGTTGTAGAAACAAAATTAGACAACTTATTTGCTCTCCTTATTGTCCCCTCCTTTGTTATGCTCTCTCCCAGTTCTTCTTCCTCTCTGCCTCCTAACCAGGGCCTCATTCGTAGGCTCCTCCCGCAAACACATACACACAACTCTGTTTGTTTGGTTTTTTTTTTTTTTTTTCTGACCCGGAATCTTGCTCTGTCGCCAGGCTGGAGTGCAGTGGTACGATCTGGGCTCACTGTAACTTCTGCCTCCTGGGTTCAAGCGATTCTCCTGCCTCAGCCTCCTGAGTAGCTGGGACCACAGGCGAGCGCCACCAGGCTCGGCTAATTTTTGTATTTTTAGTAGAAATGGGGTTTCACCATGTTGGCCAGGATGGTCTCAATCTCTTGATCTCCTGATCTGCCTGCCTCAGCCTTCCAATGTGCTGGGATTACAGGCGCAAGCCACTGCGCCCAGCCTACACACATCTCCTAAGTGAGAGTTCCATATCCAAACCTCTTCCTTTTTCTTTTCTATTCATTATTCCAATGTGAGCTGCTCTATTCTCCCCTGTAGCTTTAACTACTTATCTGTATGCAAACTTCTAACTCCAGCCTGCTCTCTCTGAACTCCAGACTCAAATGCATCTCCACCTGAATATCCCACAGGAACCTCAAACAAATGCTTACAACTGAACTAATATCTCTTTCACCCTAACAAAAAACCAGCTCCTCCTCATCTCAATCAGTGGGTTCACTATTACCTCAGTCGTGCTAGCCAGAAAATGAGGACTCAATCAGCTGAGAGCTCCAAATCTCTCTAACTCCCAACATCCAAACTCTATCAAGTCATACCAATTTTATCTCTTAAATATTCCCTGAATCCATGTCTTTCTGTAACTCCAACGGCTTAGTTCAGACTCTTTATTTCTCTACTGTTTTTTTCTATTATACAACTGGCTTTTCTACTGCCTATAATCTTTCCCCACCCAGGTCCATTCTCTACACTGGAGCTGGAATTATCTTTCTAAAATACAAACCTAACGACACCACCACTCGAGCTAAAATTCTTCAATGGCTGCCCCATGTCAAGAAAAATTCTAAACTCTGAATACGGTGCCAAGTACTTTAAGATCTGGCCTCACTCACTAATAGTGAGCATTCTGGGATCTCGTCATTCAGAACTACCTAGCGTTCCCCAAATACAAAATACTCATTCTTCAATCTATCCTTTGTTCGTGTTGTGCCATCCATTTGTCCTAGAATGACCTTCCTCTTCATCACTCCAGTGAAAGCTTATTCAACTATTTTAACACAAGTTAAAAGTCAAATCATACTGAAGGCCTCCCCTGACTTCTGTAGACAGAGTCAGGATCTTTCTACTAATTGACAGAGAAAATGGTCAGTGCTTGAGATCATGACCAGACCCACCTGGGCTGAAATCCCAGGTTTACACTTGACCAACTATGATTTTGTGCAGGGCCTCTAAAGCCTGTTTCCTCATCTCTAAACATCAGTAACTACTTCACCAGCTGTTTTGAGGATTTACTGAGGAGCTGCATGCAAAATACTCCGCACAGCACCTGACATATTCAATAAATGTTACTGTTAGGTGATTATTTCCTCTGGGCTCCTATAGCAACTTGCACATATCTCTACCACGCTATTGGGATGACATGACTGCCCATGCAGGATACAGACTATCTTTTTTCATCTCTTTATTCTCACCACCTGGCATAATGCCTGGCACATAGGTTCTTAACAAATTTTGAATGAATAAATACTTCAAACCTTATATTCTATCACATAACGCCTCAATTTTGTTTTCTACCTGTCTTACTAAACCTACTTTCCATCTCCTCCTTGTACAAAATTGCTACCTCAAGTAAAATTTACACAGGTCAACTTCATTTTAATAGAAAGTTTTATAGGATTTGTGGTCTTGTTGTTTGTTTTTAAACACACACACAAACTCACAATAATATCAACAATTCTCCAACTTACTCCATAAAGCAGCACATTTCTAGGATGGTTATCTACCCATTGAAAAATTTTAAAGGGTCGCCAAGGAAGGTTTTCTAAATCTGTGTCAGCTTCCTTTACCACCAAGTCTTGAGTCAACTCTAAGGACTCAAGTGTACTCCTGAACATAAAAAATATATAATTAATTAATTAAATAATTAAAACATGGTATTTTTCCTTCCGAAAACATGCTGAGAAATTCTGAATAACACTGGAATAATCAAAGAAAATAATTATTGCTTCCTACTGCTAAAAAAAGTATGTTTTTAAAAGTTACTAGTAATTTAAAACTGAACTAATCAAAGTATGTGTAGGCAGTGTTCAGGCTGGCGGGGGGGGGGGTGGGGTGGAGCACCCATTTCACAACCTTGAACCTCAAGAAATAAAATGCAAAAACGCTAAAAGTTAAAAATGCCAGATCCCACCATATAATAGCAATGACATCTTTTTATCTAATTCTACACTTAACCTTTAAACATTACGGCCCTTTGAGTAATTACCAATTGATGGGTTTAATATGCAAATACCTCTGAGCTACTTTAAAACAAACATGACTAACCCAGAAATAAACGTATCCAGGAAAAGAGAAAAGCCTGTGAAAACACGGTTTCTCGGGTCTCACATCCAATGTATGACATACATACGGTTCTGCACCGAGAGGCAGCAACCTGCGAGGGTCAGAGGCGCCGAAGACCCGAGGCCCTGCAGCTTGGGCGGCTGCTCATCCCTGAGACTGTGCAGGGCGGTGGCCCAGTCGGGGTGGGGCTGAGCGCTGTAGCTGGGGCGGTCCCAGCGACTGGGCTAGAAGCCCGAGGCTCACCTCCACTTCCCTTTCCCAACGCACACAGCCCAGGTCCGCGACCACCCAACAGCCCTCTCAAGACAAAGAGAGATTTTTTTTTCTGTCCCGGTCCGCTCAAAGTTTATCAGTCTTTCCCGGCGGTCGGGGCCGCCGGGCTTTGTAGTTCGGCAGTCCGAGCTACCCCGCCAAGGCCGCGAGCCCGAGGAGTCACTGAACTACAATCCCCATGATGCACAGCGAGCCTGGCGCTCCCGCGCCCCTCCCAGTCCCCGCACGGGAGCCAGCGCCCGAGGAACCCCGCAGCCCACCGCCCTGGCGTTTCCGGCGGTGGGAGGCCGGGAGGGGCTATCGGCTAGAGCCCCGCACTACCTGCTGTATCGCTTGAGCCCCTGTCCCTCGGATTCATTACCTAGAAGGCGCAGGTCCGGGCACAGCCGGCGATGCGGTCCAGATGGGTTGGGGGTGGGGCGCAGGCCGCCGCCGCCGAGTCCGTTAGTTCGCGACGTGCGTGAAGAGGCGGCGGCTGCGTAGGGTTGCCATGGCAGCCCCGGCCGCGCGGTGGGTGCAGCGCGGGAGGGAGCGCGGAGGCTGTGAGTCCGCTCTGGGGCGGAGCTTGGGACTCCAGCCCAGGTTGCCGGGGGAGGGAGGTGCAGCGGCGCGGGGTGGGAGAGCAGGGAGACAGTGACATTGAGGAGGACGTGTGGCCGACTGAGCTCTGGTCGTGCTTGATGAGCCCGCCTCCACCGCGTCCAGCCCCCGTGGCGGGGCACCTTCGAGCCTGCTGTTTTCGGAGGGGATGCCAGTGGCGTCGAAGGAGGGGGCACCGGGGCGTCGCAGCGCCCTTCCCCCGCCGCCTGTCCGGGCTTCCACCGCTGGGTCTGCCCCCATGGGATGTGTGGATCCTACGCCACCTCAGTATTTTTCTGCAGTCAAACCGAATTGAAGTCTTTCGCACCCGCTTTCTCCATTCCCTGGGGAGTGGGATGGAAAGGAATCCTTTGATAAGATGGAATGCATATGGCCTTTAGGATTATTCAGGAGGTTTTAGAACTTGCAAATGGCATTGCTTTCGACTGAATTTGGATTTATGCTTTCTTGGGCAATCGTTTGTGGACTCTAGGATAAACAGGTTAAGAGCGTGGGCTTCTAAAACGAATTCTTAGTTCACGTCCTGCCCCTATACTTGGTAGCTGATGACCAGGGGCGCGTTTCTCACCTCTTAACGCTTTGATCTGCAAAAATGGAGATATCCATCTTGCAACTCTTGTAAGAAATACATGCATTAATACTGATGAAGCTCTATAAAACAAAGCTTAGCATTTAACAATAGCTATTAAATATTAATTATTTAATCAATAGTGATAAAAGTCAGAATAGTGGTTGGCCGTCGGGAAGGAGTTTGAGATAATTTTTTGTAGTGATGAAAAAATTCTATAGCTAAGGGTTTCGGTTACAGAAGTATATGCATTTGTCAGAACTCTTGGAATGGAACATTTAAGATTTGTACATTTCACTGCATGTAAATTTACCTCAAAACAGAACATAAAAATGTGTTGTTATTATTAGAGCTATAGACTGTAATAGAAACCACAGAGATATTCTAAGCCCAATCTCTAGATTTTATAGATGAGAAAACTGAAGTCCAGAGATTTAATTGAAAAAAAGAGGAAGGGGAGTGAATTCGTGACCTTGTCGTTTTCTGGTAATGAATATCTCCTGAAAAATTATGGTTGACAATAACAAGGCACTATGCCTGTAATCCAGCTGAGTCATCGTACCACAGAGATTTTCTTAAACTTGACTGAGTCCCTTATCCACCTTTTGTTGTTCCCCACGGACAATGTCCTCTCAAGGACTGCACCGTCACTTCTGGCTCTCAGTTCTGGCTTTTTCTGAACACTTAGACTACTCCACATATCACCTCTTAAAACTCTTTTCTCTCTACTCCTGCTGACACATAATGTCGAAATCAGCGCCTTTTCTTTGGTTGTTTCTATAGCCAACTCTTTGGAAGGTTTGGAGCAGATGAGTGGTTTTAAATTAAGGATGTAAAAAACCTAAAATTAGAAATTCCTGCTCTTAAAAGTCCTTCAATTCCTCCCGTGATATTTTTATCCACCTACCACCTACCCCAATTTTTTCATCATTACCTGTAACCTCCCACTATCGTACTATCTCTCTGGTCCCATCTGTCCCCTCCTCTCTTCCCTCTTTATACAACACTTTTATTTTTATCTCCTAATCTGTGCTATTATAGCTACCTACCATTCCTAAACTGTTTACCAAAGTATTTTCCTATACAAAGTAACTTCCAAGAGAAACTCTGGAGCCAGCTATTAAAATAATTTTTTTTTACATATGTATCCTCATGCTCTATTTGATTCAGTCCACAGTGTCACTGCTCAATAAATATTAAGCAGCTTAGGTACATGACCTGTTGATACGGTTTGGCTGTGTCCCCACCCACCTCTCACTTTGTATTGTAATAATTCCCACCTGTCAAGGGCAGGGCCAGGTGGAGATAATTGAATCATGGGGGCGGTTTCACCCCTACCATTCTTGTGGTAGTGAATAAGTCTCGTGAGATCTGATGGCTTTATAAATGGAAGTTCTCCTACACAAGCTCTTTTGCCTGCCACCGTGTAGGAAGTCTCTTTGCTCTTCCTTCATCTTCCTTCATGATTGTGAGGCCTCCCCAGCCATGTGGAAGTGAGTCCATTAAACCTCTTTCCTTCATAAATTACCCTGTCTTGTGTATGTCTTTATGAGCAGCATGAAAACGGACTAATACACCTGTGCTTGTTACCTTCACAGTGGGTTCACTTATGAAACCCATTTTCTTACATCCATAATGATGGTTTACTCTATTTAGTATAAATGAGGAAGCTGTGTGATAACAGCTGGAATCTGCTGTCGAAGAAAAGAAACCAAAGTAGCCATAGCTTGTACAGAAGAAATGACAGCACTTAAGAGATGAAGTCCAGAATAAAGTCTGGGTATTAAGCCAGAGGACATCCTTATAGGAACTTGAACCTGTCACCTGCAGCAGTTTGGTCACAACTCTGCATATGTAATGAGCATGTAAATAAATTCTCCTTTACTCCTGGAGAAGATGTTACGGATCTGCTATACCAGATGAACACATGTTTGTAGTAGGGATAATAGGTTCACCGGATCCATCTATCCCTGATCTGGTTTCCCTTGTGACCAGTCGCTTGTCTTTCCTTGCAAGGCAGCGGGCCAGAGTTGTTGTGCAGCCTACAGCCGTGATGAAGTCTCCAAAGGCAAGGTCCCAGTGCATAACGCTCCTCGTTTTGTGAAGCCAGAATCCCAGAAAATCAGCTCAGCAGGACAGGCCACTTCCGAACGGATGACAGCAACACAAACAAAAGTTGCTTCGCAGTGAGTTGGAGGTGGGCAGTCGCGGGAGGGAAGACCACAAGCCACCGAAGCACAGCCTTAAAATGCCTCACATGGCTGTGGACAGGTAGGAAGGAATAAGGACCGATGGTAAACCATAGTTCATTGTTTTCACCAGATACTTTGGACCCGTTCAAGTCATAGTTAAACACCCTATGCGAATCCAAAAGATGGAGCTGAAAGTAGTAGCACATTAATCCACACAGGCAGTGTGGTCAAGAGCCACCACCCTCATTTCCAGCGCATCTGGTTTACAGTTGAGGTCTTTCCTCAGTTCTTGGAGTTCTTGGCCTCTCTAGCATTTGACTTTGCTGACCACCCTCCCTGGTAGTCCTTGACCTTGGATCTCTCCAGAGCTTTCCAACCAGACTTCACTGTGTTATTCACCAGCTCTTTTACCTGCTCCTTAAATGTGAGGATAGTTGCCAAGGTTCAGTCACTGCACCTTCTCCATTTGCAAGCTTCCGCCTTGGCCATGGTTGACGCTCCAATTTCTCTTGCTAGTTCTGATCCACAAGTTCCAGCACTGCACAAGCAGGACTACTCTTCCTTAACTTGTTCTGTTACTTCTGTTCTCTTCTCCTGAGATGCCAGCCCCTTACCCCCTAAGGTCTACGTATTCTGAAAACAAATCTTCACATGAAGCCTTTCCAGATCATTCCTGCTCAGTAGTCATATCACCCTGCTCTGTGCTCAGAATATTTCCTGTTAATCTCACTCCCTGGACAGCTGACCATACTGCTGAGTGGCTGCTCATCTATTGTTTACTCATTGGGTTTTTGTCTTTTCTCACTGTATTTCAAGCTCCTCCAACGTGCATTTCTGGGTATTTTCAAAAACACCTTCATAATACCCTACATATAATAAGGGCACAATAAATGTTTTTGATTGGTAGTTCTTTTAACTTTTCCCCTTAGCAAAACCTCCTTTATCTGGTAGCTGTCCCTCTTCTACTACTATACAGGACATTTACAGCCTCTTGATATAAATTTCCCTGAAGCCTATAGAACTGTGGGTCCGCATACATGTTCAGTGGAGGAGAGTACCTTGGGAGGTAATTCCTTAAGTCGCTGTTGCTGTGGAAGGAATTCAGTATGTAAGTAGCACTGAATTGCAACGCTCAGGCCCTCTTACCCGTGAAGATCTAGAACAGAGTTTTCCTCACTGTGGGTCACAGCCTATTAGTAGGTCATGAAGTCAGTGTGATGAGTCTCTTCCAGCTTTGTGATATTTAAAATGTGATAAGGCAAGGTAGTGTAGGGTAAAGTAGAATGCAGTAGAAAATGAAATCCAGAGGGGATGTGCATGGTTAGGGTCAAGTATTGTATGACAGTTACTGAGCTGTCATCTTTCAGCTTCAAACCTACCCTCTGTCCTCTGGTTTTTGGAGGTGGGGCTGGAATTGTGCAAACCACATTTCTCCTTTGTCATCTGCATGGAAAGGCGGGGGCGGCACAGTAGGACCAGAGGAAGAGCACAAGGCTGGAGGAGAGGGAAGCAACTTGCTCCTTCCTGATGGCCTGCTATGCTTGGCAGCATCACTCCTGCCACAGACTTTCAGCCTGGTAGAGCTTCTACTTGTCTCCAGCTTCTTCTTGTATCTCAACCAGCCTCATCGCGTGTCTTCTTCCTGCACCCCAGAGCATTACCTGCAGCAGCAGCCAGCCAGTGTCCTTCTTCAGGAGCCTGTGCCCCAGC